GAAAGCTCAGAATGTCCCCCTAGTGGCTTTCTCAGCCATTTTAACATTTTGGACACCATCTCTTTCTTTTGAACCAAGATTTCAATGAGATAGGGTGTGTCTTAGTGTGCTTGAAATTTCATATTTTTTTAGACTAAAATACATCTTAGTTATTAAGCTTGATAAATTATAGTGGAATTCTATGGTATTAATGTAGTAATTTATGATTTTTTTAGTTATTCAAATGTATATATAAAACCTAAAAAATATTATTTTGTTTCATATCCTCCATATGAAAATTTTTTAAAGGCTTAGCAAATTATGTCAAGCAGCAACAACCGAGTACAAAGATTGTAATTAGAAGATTTTTGTTTGTTTTACTTCTTTATTTACTGTTCTGTGTTTTAAGAAAAATAGACTTAAGAACTTATTTCAAAATAGCAGTAATCTATATACATATATAATGTATAATAATTTAAATGTGAATGTATTTTACAAAATACTAATCTACTAAAACACAGCCAAGACAAGTTACTTTGTACAGACCAAAGGTCAGTTTTATGTTATTTGATACGGTAACATGAGTGCACGTGAGCCGTGTCATTGTAACTTCTGTATTGTTAGCCAGGCATGGCTGAAAGGTCAATATATTAAAAATAATAAATATATTTGTATGTATAATGTTATGAGATTTAAGTTATTTAGTCTAAACATTTATGTTTTCATGTTATAATTTGTGTTCATTCTAGAATGAAAGAAGCATAATATATATTTATTTCCTAATTTTTTGTGGTAGTTGCAAGATTGGTCAAATCTACTGAACCCGTACTGAGATTCATTACTGAAAATAACAGATTAAATATAAAGATTTTTCTTAAGAAATGTTTTATAACTATCTGGACATTATAAAGATTTTGCATGTGAAATTTGAAAATTTTCAGAAATATAAAAGTATTTTAAATCTTAAAATGAAAATTACTTTGCATGATAGATAGGCAACATGTGAAAAGAAAAAATGGCAAACAAAAAAAACATTGCTTTATAAACCTTAAGGCTTAATAAAAAAAAATTGATATTTTGAGTATGAACGCATTGTAATGTTTACTGATAATCTGCCAAATTTTGTTAACATTTGCTTAATAATTTAAAAACACACATTCAAATATTCTCCAAGCTTTCCATTCAACTCTCTTAAATTGACTGCATTCACCATACCTAAAGGCAACCTGTACCAGAAGCCAAAAACTTGTTGAAAAAGTAAAGCTGTCCTAGCTGGATATGACTTCATCCCAACCCAAATTTATATATTTGTCCTCTAGTCTTATAAATATTCCCATTAGATATGACAAAAGATGATACATCAGCACTGTCAGTTCCCTTAGTAATCTTAAACAGCTCAACTGGATCCCCTCTAACTCTTTTTTTTTTTTCCTAGATAAAACATGTTCAAAGATCTTAATATTACCATACGATAACATTTTCATCCTAGTAGCCCTTCTCTGAGTTATTTCTATCAATTAAATATCCTTTCTGAGGTAAGGAGCCCAAGACTGAGCACAATATTTCCAAATGTATCCTATCAAAGGACCTATACAATGATATCATAACCTATTTAGACTAGTATTGAATATTTCTGTAGATACAACCTAAAATCCTATTTGCTCAGCCACTAGCAAGAGCACATTGCTTGGATGGTTTAGGAGACTGACCAACTAGAACACCAAAATCTTTTTCTTCCATAACATTGCTAATATTATTCCCATCAAAATTATACTTATAATTCAAATTGTGATATCCTACATCCATTATCTTGTATTTTTATATATATAAAAGCCACTTGCTATTTACTTGCCTAGCTTACCAAATAATCCAAATTATTTTGTAAGGCAGTAGCATCTTCTTCATAGCCAGCCACACCAAAAACTTTGACATCGTCAGAAAATTTCAATATTCTACTGACCATTCATTAATGCAAGTTGAAAAGAGCAAAAGTCCTAACACTGAGTCCTGAGGTACCCTGCTCATGACATTAATCCAGTTCGACTGAACTCCCTTTAAAACAACCCTCTGCTTTCTTCCATCTTGCCAGTTTTCTATTCAGTGAGCCAACTTCTGTCCTGCACATACAGAAATAACTTTTTATAACAGTCATTTTATGTGGCACCTTTTCAAATGCTTTCAGAAAATAATTTAATCTACATAAGCAGCAACCTTTTCCAAGAATATTAAGAGATTAGTAAGGTAAGATTTTCCCCTAGTGAAACCATGCTGAATAGCCAACAGAATGTTCAGCTTTGTTAAATGACTTTGCAACCATCTTTTATTAGACTTTCAAAAAGTTTTCCCACCACTTGTGTAAGACTAGTAGGTCTATAATTACTGGGACAATTCTTATCACCTCCCAAGAAAAGAGGAGTAATATTAGCTGACTTTCACTCTTCTGGCACCTGCTCACTATTCAAAGACTTGGAAATAATAATAGCAAGTGACTTACATATCCAATCCTTAGCCTCATTCAAAACCCTTGGATAAATATATTTGGCTCAGGTGCTTTATCGTTTTTTAAACTTCCCAGTTTTTTCTTAACAAGCTCAGAATTAGTGTGATCATCCTATTCAACCATGTTTCCATCTAACAACTGTTCAGGTTGAGGAATACTTAAGTAAGGAAGCACATTATGCTAATAATAGGTAGGTAAACAATATTTTATATGCATAAGGAAGAGTTTTTATTGATGGTGGAACATATTACATGTTTTGACAGACCAATGCTTAACTCTTCATTAGAAAAAACTGAAGAAAAAATAGAATTTACTAACCTCATCATCAATCATAACCATCACATATTAGCCTCCTGATATCATCCCTCAAAATCGCTACTCCAATTCTAACATTTTGCTTATCCTAAGTGTATTTGAAGAAGTGTTTATTTATTTACTTATGATGTAATTAAAAGAATAGTCTGCTGTGTTTCACCACATTAAAAATATTTTTTCTTAAACAAGTTTACCAAGATAATGGTTTCTGGTTTGTGTTGTGGAGAATCACCTCTCAATTTTTGAATGCTTTCTGACACTGTTGGCTAGCCATCTAATGTTTTGTTTACTACCTTAACTTTACACTTTGTGATATTCCAAACACTGCAGCAAAAGCTCTTTTATTATTTTCATCCACCTTCAAAATCTTAAGAGCTATATTGGTGTTTTAAATCATTAGTAATGTTAAATAGCCATTCTTTGAGTGTAAGATAAATTAGGAATGCATCTGAATACAAATTCAAGCACCACTCCCAGTTTTGCTTCTACACAGTACTGTAGCTCAGTGTTTCCATTAGTGGATGTCTTGGTGTATTATACACCCAGAATTTTCATTTGTACTCCAAAAATTTAATATTTGAAAGTCTGTGGAATGTCCATGCTTTAATCCCATATGCCTATAGGCATGATAAATGTCAGACCTACCTTACTTTATTGTTGCATCCCTAAAGAAATGTCCAGTGCTTCTATTAAATAAAATATTGAAGTGGGTGTAAAAAGTTAAATTGTCTTTTGAATCCTTGCAGTTTACTTGTAATGATTGCAATAGTAAATAACTTTTACTAGACAATCTCCACCATCTTCATAGCGAGACATCATGTCTTCATTTGGTTATTATTGTTGTAATGCTTCAAAATATCTGGAATATACTGGCACCAACTGTATCACTTTTCAGATGTCTCTGAAGAAACCTTGCACACAGATAAATAAGACAAACAGTAAATAGTCTTCCTGTCCAAATGACTTGGTTTGGAACATGCAATGTGACAAAGATGCACAATAACAATGACATTTATCATACATTACAGTGTCCTGAGACCTCTGTGTTTTCAAATGGGACTTCCAAAACTGATAGTCTGAAAATCCTGGACTGTGTTTTGCAGTATATTCAATATGTTTGTTTATGAATCTTGTAAATTATTTTACAGTTTTTCTGCTGTCAAGTAACAAAAACATTTTATATACTTATTAGGTATGATGTGTATGCTTGTTAGTTGCATTTCTGTTATTACTGTGTGCCTTATAGTTTTTTTAAACTTTCAGGTAACCAATGTAATTCAAAAGAAACTTGTGGAAAATGTATAGCTTCTGACTCTGCTTGTGCATGGTGCAGACAGGAGGTAGGTTTTAATTCTAACTTTTTTATATTTACTTTTCCATACTTAATTTGATATAGCTTTGTAGCACTGCTGGTGATGAAAATTATCAAATTTAAATATTACTTTTTTATATTTGAATTATGAATTTGTTCTGCTTTATCTGATGTTTGGCCATTGATCATACTAATTCCAGAAAATACAGTTTAAATGTCATGATTTATGCTACATTTTCAAGTAACCGTGATATAGTAGTTCCTTAAAACATCATTATAATTGCTGCTATAAAATGAGATAAACATGTATATATTAATAACATTTTGTATATTTTTCCTTTTATATCAGAAAATATTTCATCAGCATTTTTTTCAGTCTTCCCATGCTAAGGTCAGGCAATTTCATGTCAGATAGTTCATAGACAGTTTATAGAGGGCTTGAAGAGAAGCATATTATTTTAGCTTCATGGGAGTGCAAATCTGAAGGTTCCTATCACTTTTTGGGTTAACCTAGCTTTAGAAGCATCTTTGCTGATATTATAATGTGAGTGCACCAAGTACAGTAAATGCTAAAAGTACTACCAAGTTGAATGCAGGACAGACAGTTTGAGATGGTTGCTCTTGGACAAGAGAAGAATGCATTGATACAGACATTTTATCCTGCCAGCTTGCTAATTAATATCATAACCATGTCCAACAGTGGATTGAAACACTTGGAAAATCAGAAGAATGCAGGTATAATCGGAAGAAGTACCTTTTTTATATCTTCAGGTTATAATTGCCATTCATCAAGAGAAAATTCCTCCATTGCTCTCATAATACCTCATGAACAGATGGTCACATATAGTTTATTATGTAAGCTTTCATAGTAGAGTAATGTGACTATCAATTAGTATATGTCAAGAATTATTCTCTGAAAACGTTCTAAAGCTTAATTAACTGATACCAAATTAACTTCTGAATGAACTACAACTCAGTATTTAATCTGTTGCTAAAGTAATGTTTAGAAGATGAAGGACAAGAAGTACTTATTTTTGATATTACATAAATCTTAGATCGCTTGTTCTTTAAGACTCGTGATGCATAGGTATTTATATTTGAATAAATTACTGCATCAACATTCACAGCAATAAATTTTTGATTTTATTGCTAGTTTAACTATAACATCAGTGGGCTTAAAGCTTGCAATAAAGAACAAAATTTAACATAGTGAATGTCCATGTTCATTTTCCCAATGATGTGTCTGATAATAAGGCTGAAACATGTAATAAAAATAAAGTTTAACATAGTGAATGTCGATGTAATTTACTTAATGGAGCAATTTGTTTCACATTCCTTAAAATCAAGTAGTACACCTTAGCTAAATTGTTATTGCCTATATTGCTTTGAGATAGGTGTGAGATGAAATACACACAAAATAAGTACTTTATTGATGTTTTGTTTAAAATGCATGGTATTTAATTGCATTTAAACTGTGAATTTGTATACATTTTCTTACTATATACCAAAGATTTTTTTTCTAATATGTTATTGTTGTTCATTTGTCAGAAACAAGAAATACATTACGGGCATTTGGTATTTTGAAATACATGTAGAACATTTTATGCAGCACATGTGCTAATCAACCAGGTTCAGGTATAGTTGTTCCTAATTTTGAACTATTGCGTAGAGGAAGAGCAACCAGTGAAAAGCACCTGCCACTTACAGTGACTTGGCTCTTGCTTTTACAATGTGCCCACAGTACAGGAGTATGTTTAGCAGCATAATTTCGAACTATTGTCTAGAGGAAGGGAAATCAGTAAGAAGCACCTGCCACTTACAGTGACTTGGCTCTTGCTTTTACAATGTGCCCACAGTACAGGAGTATGTTTAGCAGCATAATTTCGAACTATTGTCTAGAGGTAGGGAAATCAGTAAGAAGCACCTGCCACTTACAGTGACATGGCTCTTACTCTTATAATGCACCTACAGTGCAGGAACATGTTCACCAGCAAAGGAAACTTTAGACCTGATCCATAGTTCAGCATGCTAACTACTAGACTATGTTCGGCCCAAAATGAAAAAAAAAAAAACTGTGCAGAACAACATCTGACAAAGGTATATATTTCCTATATATGTACAGAAACATCTGGGAGGGCAAAAACAAATATTGAAAATACCTGACACAATAAGAATCAAGTATTATAGTTATTATAGAATAATGTAATGAAAGAACAGTTACTTAATTTTATGCAAACACTATGTTATCACTTTTAACAACTGATGAAACAAATGTTTATTCCATTGCTTGTGAATGATTAGCTTGTCCTGTCTAGATAAATCAGGTTTGTTATTGTTTATTTATTTGTACAGTGTCATGCATGTGTTATTACTGTTTTGGATGAATTTGTGCAAAGAAGTTCTCCTCCTTTAAATAAAATTCATCATTACAAACCAAATTGCTATTGGGAAAAAGAATCAAATACTTTTGTGTAAGAAAAGCTACTGTAAGAAATGTTCGAACACGGATGTCTAAAAAGAAATGATTTTATGTATGTATGTATTAGGTCGTCAAGAAATTAATGTTGCATTTTGGAACACTTTCATTAGCCCCCTCCCCCAAAAAACGTACATCACGTACAATAGTTAAATGAACCACCTAAATGTCATGTTAGGGTATCCTATATAATGTGTAAAGTTTAGTGTACTCTAATCCCTTATAGTGGTGGCAAACCATGAGACACACATTCGGTATGTAATGACGTTTGAGTACAAGAAGAGAAACAATGCCTCTGTAGCCTAAAAGAGTATCAACGAAGTTTATGAAAATGTTTTGAATGTTTGTAAGTGTCAACGATGGCTCAGCAAATTTCGTTCAGGTGACTTTAGCCTTAAAACTGTGATGGCAGGGGCTGACATGTTGGAATTGATAGTGATGCTCTTAAAACGCTTGTTGAGTCTAACCTAAGGCAACACACTCATGAAATGACCCTCAATTTGCATGTCTCTCATGAAACTATATGTAACATCTAAGGAATATGGGAAAACTCCATAAAGAAGGTGTTTGGGTGCCTCACCAACTCTCCGATGATCATCATTTCCAACATGTGAATGTTGCTTCGTCTCTTCTGGCACGTAATGCACATGAACCATTTTTGGACAGAATTGTCACCAGTAATGAAATATTGATTCTCTATGCAAATATTAAATGCCAAAAACAATAGCTCAGTCCTAGACAAAAACCACTTCTGACCCCAAAACCTGGACTCCATCTGTAGAAAGTGATGCTTTGCATTTGGTGGGACATCAAAGGAGTAATTCCTTTTGAACTCCTCAATCCACAGCGAACTGTCAATGCAGAGATCTATAGTCAGCAACTGGAACGTTTAAATCAAGCCCTTCATCGGAAATGCCCTTCACTCATCAATTGGAAAGGTGTTCTTCTTCTCCACGACAATGCATGTCCACATGTGGCATGTTTGACGCAACACAAGATTATGGAGTTGGGTTGGGAAGTTTTCTCCCACCCACCATATTCTCCAGATATGGTACCATCAGATTACCATCTTTTTTTGTTTGCTGCAACACCATCTTAATGGGAAAACATATGCAAATATGGAAGGTGTTAAAGAGGACATTGACGTGTTTTTTGCTTCAAAGGCAAGTGATTTCTTTATTCAGGGCATTAACAACCTGATTGTATGATGGAAAAGCATCATCTATAAGATTGAAGACTATTTCATTTAATAAATGTTTTGTTTTGATATAAGTTGTGCAGATTTTTTTCTTCTAATAAAAAGCGACATTAATCTCTTGATGATCTAATATTAAACCCAAATATTTATGAACTACTGGCCAAATGGACTATACATATGGCATTCCTGAGTCTTATATATATATAGACCCTTTTAGGTTTTATATATAAATGCATTTCAGTTTATGAATTGTATGTTCTGAAATGATACCATTATCTTTCTGCACACAATTGCTATTCCTCATACTTTGAGATTTTGCACATGCCACTAACCTTGAGCTATCTCCCATGACCTAGGACACAAAGTTTATGGATTTTGTCCATAAATAAAACAGCTGAAGTGTTCCAAATACAAAATTCTTTGGACATATATTGCCAAAATCCAATGAAGCTTTAGTTTTTTTCACATACTGTATAAGTAAACTTTTTTGCCATTTATTCATATGCACTAAAGTTTATTTGTGGGAGTATTTCCAGCTGTTGATAAAGTGATCATTGCTTTTTGTTTTCATACTTATGGTAAATATCAATTTAGTTGAGACTGTTAGTGACATTATTCGTAATGAGATGGAGACATATATTCAGCTCCACGGTATTCCTTCAGGGGACTCTAAGGCTGCATTTGAGGGTGATCCTTAACATTCTGGAGCGAATTTAGATTCGCTTTTTCCTGTGACTTCTTTTTGTCTGTTGGATTTTCAATTCCCCTGTGGGACAGTGGTGTGTTTGCAGGCTTGCAGCACTGGAATCTGGGATTTGATTCCTATAGTGGTCACAGCAGATGGATCAGTGTTACTTTGCTCTCACAAATAAACCTACCTGACTATATGTTGTTCCAATCAATGTTAATCTACTCAGTCTTTAAATGAAATATGAACAAAAAAAAAGGTGGTATCTTTGGGATAAGCCTTTGATTCGTTTTCTTCAGTTGGCTCATCAAGTCTTTCTCCAGTTGCTTTTGAACCTGCACCTTTCTTGAAGGCTTCAAGGTCTGAAGGCTAATGTTTCCATTTATCTACTTCCACAGACATTGTGGATCATGCAGTATGGTTTAGTTATCAGTTTAGTGAATTGACAGTTATGTCTAATTGGAACTTTGTGATTTAGCCTACCATTGCCAGGTGGAAGTATATTCCGATTCTCATATAATACATCTGCTCCTTGAATTTTGGGGGTTCTGTGGCAGAGGTTTTCGTTCACCTGCATACATTAATGTTCCCTGATGGGACAGGGTATATCTATGGATGTACAACTCTACTCTAACTTTCTGTTTTCCTTCCTACACTTGTTGGAAA